GTGTGTGTGTGTGTGTGTGTGTGTGTGTGTGTGTGTGTGTATACACACGTGAAATTGAGACAACGGAGTATTTACAGGAACAAAAAGAAACATCAACGTGCCTTTTGCCGCCTCATATCCACTCTACACACAGGTCGTTCCTCCGAACGGTTGTCAGTCGAGCAACGCGACTGAGTCAAATCAAAAAGTCTTGACAGTAATATACAGTCAAGGAGATAGATGAAACGTGCGCATCTGTTGAAGCGGGTGGTAATCACTGTTATTAGATAAAAGGTAATAAAGGATTGCAATGTTCTATGGTAAATATTGTTACAATAAACTAAATCGAGGAGCATGAAAGCTCGCTCGGGTTTTTATATTGTTTGATTATTATTTACGATGTTGTTCATTTCATTCAAAGCGGTACACCAGAGGCTGCCAGGGAACGCCAAGAAGTTAGATGGCGGCTATGGAAGTCACACCTGTTAACTCCAACTCAGATATTAGTGGTTCATATGGTCAGACCACCGCTGCCTCAATGGGTTATGACAGGTGTACTTACCTGAGAAATACCTAAAGCTTGAGCAGCAATACCGATGCGCCCTCCGTCCAAAGTTTGCATTGCGATCTTGAATCCAGCGCCTTCGGGTCCCAGTAACCCCGTAGTTTCATCTGAGTCGCTTAGCACACAGTCATCGAATTCCAACGTACATGTCGATGTGGCCCGTATACCCAACTTGTCTTCCGACTTGCCCACAGTCAACCCTTCCACGGGTTTGCGAACTATAAATGCGGAAATGCCTTTGTGCTTGAGCTCTCGATTCGTGGTTGCGAACACGATAGCCGCATCAGATTCTAGACCGGTTGTGATCCAACACTGAGAACATTATGGCGCGAAACGACGAAGAAGGAGAGAAAAGAAACATTTTTGATATTGCAACTGTCGAAAGAGGTATCTGTACAGTGCGGGAGAAAAACTGAAAGCGATTTTGTCTAATCGTACTTAGCATCTGACTACTTGAATACTTATCAGTAGCCAGTTTGGATATTGTCTACCGTTGTTAAGCTCATTTCCTCTTGCACCTCGTTTGGCAAGTCCAATTTGCCCAGAAAATGAGGGATAATGCAACTCATTCGTCTAATTCATGCCTCAGACGTATACAAAGGTCAAGATAAGAAAATCCACCTTGGAACGACCGAACAATCATTTTAACCCTTTTTGGTTTATCAAATGAGTTTTCCGACAGCAGTTTCTCATACTCGGGGTTTTTGTAGCTAAGTTTCCACCCTTCCCCCCCCACACACACTTTATCAACTGCTGGACGAAACGACACAACATCCGCTGTAATCGGATCAAAAGTAACCTCCTACTTCTGCGAATGATAAAATCTTCGGATAGAAGTGATGAAGATGTTTCTAAAAAGATGATTAGGTGAACGCTAATATAACGGATCAAACAAACTGTTAAAAAACGCGCAATATGTTAGGTTCGTGCCATTATGGAGTGCAAAATTTTGGTCAGAAACACATCACACGTGACTTGCTATTCCAGCTTCAAATATGAATTCCGTAATAATTACCGGTAAAATATAAAGATGGAGTAACTAGGACCAGTAACAACTCAATCGTTTCACACCTAGTGGAACCAAACCACGTAGTTTATGTGGCCGAAGCGTTTTGACCCCCCTACTAAATTTGCACCCGCCGATTTAAGAGGATCTAGAAGGATTGGGAGTCGCATTTTGGCCACAGCGGAATGGATCGGAGCCCCCTTTGCTCGCAAAAACAATTCGTAAGAACACTCGGATTTCCATGGCCGACACCACACACGACACAGCTATCCCCACACACATCCCTAGTGACCCGAACCAGTGCGCATGTGTGAGGACCAAAGTGTGAGCAATATCCGGTCATGGAACTGAAATGCCGATTAGCTCTTTTCCAACTTGTCATGATTTCTCCCCGATTCTAAACAGTTTGATATAAATTGTGATATTGTCGAAATAGTCTCACAGAGCACGTTTCAAACAGAACCACAGAGTGGCGAACAAGCTCGTTTTCAGAGATTCGTATTCATGCCAATACATCTCAATATATATATCACTGCTTGGGAATAAAACTGTCATGGGAAAATAAAATAAAAACAGATTACTAAAATCGATTTCATCGTGAGACCGGAAATCGGGTTCACCACGATCACATGTTTGTTTGTCCACTCATCCGATCATCGAGATTACACGTGAAAGGGTGTGTGTGAGGGGGGAGCCAGGGAAGCTGTAGCGCTTGCACAAATTGTTTTTGGG